GGGCGGGGGCCGAGCGGAGCGGAGCTGGGGAGGGGGCTGCTGGGGGTAATAAATCAGGAGCGGCGCTCCCAGCTCTGACAGGTCCCGGCCAGAAGACACGTGTCCGTCCGGGCTAGGAGCACTGCAGCCGCTGCTCCCCCCGGAGAAAGGCGCTGACCTGCGGGAGCAGCGGGCGCCCTCAGCCCTTGTCCCCGCAGAGACTGCTCCGCGGCGGGGCAGCCAGATCCAGGCGTCACTTGCTGTCCCCCGTTGCTTCCCGCCTGCTCCCGCTTTGTGGGCTTCCATCTGCCCGCCTGCCCTTGTCCCGCAGGCTGGCAGCGTGACCGCGCTGCTCCGTGCCCCATGGTCGGCCGCCCAGCATCTCCCCGCCCCACCTCGGCTACAGGCTCTGTGCCCTTCTACCCCCATCCCACTTTTCGCCTTTCTTTTGAACCTCTCTGCTAACAGGCGGGTCACCCTCCGCAGTTCTCTCCTCCAGTCCATTTGGTCTGGCTGCGTTTCCTGCCTACGGATAAGCCATCATCCACCCCCACCCTGACCTGAATCCACCCCCATCCAGACACTTCTCGCCTCCCAGCTTTTCTCTCTCAACTCTTGCATTTGCCCGTCGCAATCCCCCAGCCCCGCGGCTTTCCTCCCCGCCATCGAAGACAAGGGGGCTGCTTGTAGCCCCGTTTCACCTGGGCAGAGAGCTTGGTCTTTTCCTTGTGAGTTTTCACATGCACTTAAAAATCAAGCCCCGCGTGCAGGCAGCCTCCTCCCGCGGGCTGCATTCGGCTCCCCCCGCTAATGGGATTCATGACTTAGAATCAGTGCGTTCCAATCCATGTCGGACACGTGTATTTCCCCGTTAGGGATGAACTTATATTGATTGTATTGTTGATTAAAAATCTATCTTGATGACACCAGACAGTGGGATGAGATAATAAAATAATCCTGTCCGCTTTATAAACTCCGTAAATGAGCAGCAGTGATGTCAAACGAGAAGCCAAAGACAAAGTGTTAGGTCCAGGCTCCAAGTGTGTGCATGTGAATATCCCGCGTGTGTGCCTGTGCGGGGAGCGGACTCTTCTGGAGATATAAAATACCAGTGATAGGGACGACCTTCTAGGAACTGGTCAAATGATAATTCAGTTCTCCCGGGTTATTTTTACCTTTTCGTCCCTTTATCTCCTCGTATATACTGTGTGTGTGTGTGTGTGTGTGTGTGTGATAAGTCGTGTTCCGTTTTCAAGGCATTCCCAAACTTTCTCAGCATCGCAGCGATTAAGTCTTGCTACTTGTGCAGACAATTAAAAGAAACAAGGACATTGGATTCACTTCCCACTTCCTTTTGAATTGAAAACAAAAACAAACCTATAACTGAATGTCATATTGTTATCTCCATTACATTATACTATAAACCCCTATTACAAGAGCAGAGTGGAATAGAAGAAAATAAATACCTCCAACCCAGAGTTGTTTTTGCACTAGATTAGCAGATAGGAAATGCTATAAAGATGAACTTAATACGATTAGAGGTGTTTCCTACAGATTTTCATATATTGATTCAGGGAATTTTAATTCTGGGGCTTGCTTTGCTATAATCCGTATTTATTACAAGCTGATATAGTTTTATTATAGCAAGCTATCAAGGTCGATTCCTTTAACTGTATAATCTGACATGAATTTCATTTTTAAAGAAATGTAGTTATAAAAATCCATACTGTGGGTATAGTGATTATATTGTAGCTGAATCATATTTTAATGGCAATAAATCCGCCGAGTATTTAAAAACATGGGACATGTGATTAAAAGAGACTCCTGCATACGAAGTAGAAACTCGGAAAGAGGAAACTCATAACCTATTTTTAAATTACATTACAGAATCAATAATGGAAAATTCAGAACTTCAGCCCCACAAACTCTTAACCCTACAGGTTGCATAAACTTTTTACGTGCAGTGTAGTCTAGTCCTCCAGCAAGGCAGTCACAAGCCAGGAAACACTTGTGCTTTCCAAGCGCACGCTTTGGTTTCATTGTATTTTTAGTCGCCTTAAAACACTAAACTATTCGCAGGCTGGCTTCAAATGGTGGGGGGGGGGGGGGGGGGGGGGTCCCTACATGCAAAAATGCGTTGATACAGAAAAGGTTATCCCGTAATTAAAACGTAGTTTGACTTTCTCCCTGCAGCTTCACAGAACATTGTGCCACTGCTCCCACCGCAAATGTTCCTTGTACCAGGTACTTCCTTCTAAGGCTTGGAGTCAATCAGAACAGAGGGAATAAGCAAAATGATCATAAATTTCCTAATTAGAGATTTCGCACCAAGACAAAAAGGTGTTAATGAGTTTAATTCCAGTGTCTGTCATTGTCCCTTTTTTCACACCACTTATTTACTAATGGCCCAGAGGGCTGCTCCTGTCTCTCCTTTGTTAAGATTTTAATTTGCCTTCTTTTCTGCCTTTGATGTAAAATTGTGACCTACAACTCTTTGAAGTCCCTTATTAGGAAGAAAATTAACTTGCTCTTCCACTGTAGCTGCCTACTGTTAGCCTAGGCAAAATGGAGAGAACTCCTTAAAGATTCACTGCATAGAAAAAAATTTCAAGCTGACTCTGGAAATGCAAATTAAAAACTGTAATAGACTTTTAAATCTATATTAGGACCCACGCGCAGGCCGGGGCAGAGGGCTGGGCTGGGGGGGAGGGAATATCTTAATAAAGAAAACAAACCCTGGAAACCCAGCCTAGGGAAGGTTGGAAATGGCACATTCTGCAAGGGGGAAAAAAAGGGCTTTATTTTAAAAATGTCAGAAGTTTTTCCTCTTCCTCCATGTAATTTACAATTGAGAACCCCAGCTTCCTCTGCCTTTTATTTCAGAGAAAAGAAG